TGTACATCTGCCTTTCTAATAAAAATCTTAAAAATCATTAAACAGTGGAGAGAATCAAGATGGCCGAATAGGATAAGGACATGTTTAAATGGACAGAGAAACATTTAATCAGGATGAAGCAGAGAGGACACATTCCAGGAAATAAGAGAAGATAAAACAACAGCAGAGGGGTACCTGAAGACTGACAGACACAGGAAAGCAACAGACACAATGGTGTGGTACTTCAGTGGCATTCAGCTAATGGCAATCTGAACTCCACCAGCAGCCAGAACTCCACCAGCAACCAGGTGGAAAGGGACTTTCACTGGGAGTGTGGGAGGTGAACCCAGACAAAGAACTGTCCATCCTGCTAGACTGTTTGATTTGACCAGAAACAGAGAATGGCAGATCCCAGATGGGTAGAGCAAGAACAGGGTGGATTTCACAGCCCAGTCAGCCCCCTAAAGCTGAATTGGCTGCCATTTTGAGTAAGGAGGCAAAGGCAAGGGAAAGAACTGAGCATATGCTGAGCTGGGAGTGAACTCATTTCTGAATCAGTGAACTGCATCAATGTGGCATTCTACAGGTTCCACCCAAGCAGGTCTGAGTAGCCCTCAGACCTGATGGCAAGCAGGTTAAGAACTCTAGTAGAGGCACATCAGGTGCCATTTTATACAGTATAGCAAAAGTTTAGGACTGCTGGGGACAACAGTGAGCTGCGCGTGTGCTGAGCTCATGAGAACTCACTGAATTTTGTGGATTGCACTGGTCCCACATGGAAAATATTACCGGCTGTGGCATCATATGGGTCAAAATTGGTCCCTGTGGCACAAGTCCTAACAGCCAACAGGTTACAGCAAGATCAACACCACCAACAATATAGCTCTATAAGATACCTGGTGTCCCTCTAATAGTGGGACCTGCTCCAACTGAAAATGGGAGAAAGGCTGCAGAGGCAGCATTGCAAACTCAGTGTGATAAAACAGGAGGTGGAGAGTGTTGAGCCAGGAGCTGGGGCTTTGAATATGATGGTGGGGATCTAACATAAGAAAGAGACCTAAAACTCGCTGGAGGGAGTGGCACAATTGACTGAAAACACAGAGCTGTGTACCAACTGCAATAAGTAAAATCGAACTGTAGACCTGTGGGTGACACAGCTTAGAAACCTGCCCCAAGGAGAAGAATCTGATAACTAGAAGTACAATGACCAAGAGCAAAAGAAAAGTCAAAGGCACAATGAGTATTACTGATGACTCCCCTACAAAGGAGCAAAACCCTATGCCAACCTCAGAGTTAACTGAGGAAGACATCGAGAAAATGGGGGACACAGAATTCAGAAAATTCATTGTTAAGCTTCTGATCAACAATGAGAAGCACATACAAAAGTTCAAAGAATTTAAAGAATATGTTACATAAGCAATAGCAGCAATAAAGCAAATCAAGGCTGATATATCAAAAATTAAGGACATAGTAGAGCAAATTAAAGGTCCAATGGAAAGTCTCCAAAATAGAATGAAGCAAGCAGAAGAAAGAATCTCAGAATTGGAAGATATTTTCTGTCACCAGGGAGGAAGCAAACAAAAAAGCGGAAGCAGAGCTGGATCGGGCCAAAAAAAGTATTCAAGAATTGAAAGATACTATTAAGAGGCCTAATATAAGAGTTTTGGGAGACCCAGAAGGTACAGAAAGAGAACTGGTTTTACGAATATATTTAATGAAATAATAAGGGAAAATTTCGCTAATCTAGAGAAAGAATTGGGAAACAAGATCCAGGAGGGGCATAGAACTCCCAACAGGCTTGATCAAAAGCGGTCTTCACCCAGACACATGATCATCAAGCTCTCTTCAATCAAACATAACAAAAAGATCCTTAAATGTGCATATGAAAAAAAAAATCAACTGACATATATAAAAGAATGCCAATTAAGCTCACAGGAGACCTCGCACAGGAAATTCTACAGGCCAGAAGAGAATGGAGTAACATATTCCAGATTCTAAAAGAAAAAGCTTGTCAGCCCAGGATAACATATCCAGCAAAGCTTTCTTTTGTCTTTGAAAATGAAATAAAATTCTTCAGCAGTCAAGAAAAGTTAAAAGCATTTATCTCTTCCAAACCTGCCCTACAAATGATACTTCAAGATGTTTTCTTGACAGAAAAGAGGAATAGCACCCACCAAAACCAAAGGCAAATGGGAAGAACATCCCAGTAAAATGACAACAGGAGACTAGATCAATGAACAACCCATTCCTAAAATGACAGGACCAGATTACCGCCCATACATATTAATCCTGAATGTAAATGGTTTAAGCTCAATCAAATGTCATAGATTAGTAGACTGGATTAACAAGCAAAACCCATCTATTTATTCTCTAGAAGAGACACATTTCACAGCAAACATCAGTAGAAACTATATCGCATGGATTTTGATGTTTTTGTTTTCTGTTAGTTTCATCTCTTTAAAATAATTTCTTCTGATTAAATTATTCAGTGACTCATAGATCAAACAGTAGCATCATTTTCTTCAAGAAGGTTCTAGATTTTCTTTTTCATTTCTTCAGTGACACATTAGTCATTTAGTACCACTAGTAACATGTTATTTAACTTCATGGCATTGTAAATTTCTATTTTTTTTTCTATTGTTGATTTTGTATTGTGGCTTTTCATTTGAGGGGATGTACGGTAACTTTGAAATGGAGGCTAACATATCCAGATGTGAGGATACAATGCAGTATGCATCTGTACTTGCAGACATAGATGGACTTACAATGAAACTGTTTACTCTGTCTTGATAATAGGATGCTGGACTCTCTGCCATTGTCCATGCCTGCAATGATGGACATATGACTGTGTTTGAAGAACTATACTTTAGTAATGACATAGAGCAACTAGGTGGTGGGAGGGTGAATTGTGGAAGAGATAAGGAAAATCCCAGAAGCTTATGGAACTGTATCATAAAATGATAATAATAATAAATTTTTAAAAAGCAAAGAAAAAAATAAAGAAGTTTAGTGCGGCAAACATGGAAAAGTAAAAGCAACATGTCATAAGTATAATAATCTCTATTTATTCTTAGCAGAGTTAGTGGTATGATGTGAAACATTTAATACCTGTATCTCTATCTTCAACCCCTTTAGATCAGTACTAATTCCAACTCCATCTTTAAAATGCTAAAATGTAATACACAGTGGTCAGATAATTTGCACATACCACATGAATGATCTTTGGATTTGAGTCTAGCCCTTCTGATTATCAGAGCACTTTAATAAGTTTGTCTTCTTCCTTGCCCATAAGCAAAATAACAGGTTGTATTGTATTTATATCTGGGAAAATTTAGAGTAAGCATTGCTAGACAGAGACAAGGTTTTTAACGTGGAAAATGCCTTCTGGGAAGGTCATATAAGTCACAATAGCATGTGCAAGTCAACTAGAATCACCAAATATTATTTCTGTTCGTGAGACAAAACACATAGTGAGAGAAACCAGCAGAGACAGGGATGGTGCCAGCTAAATGGAAGAATTCTCTTTACTGCCAAGGGTTTAATCCATGAGTATTGGATGACCAGTAAGTTTCTGAATGCCAATCAACATTGATTCTGTAGTCACTGGCTTCCATTTTCAAGCTATCACATTTAGAGAACAAGGAGGATTATTTGAACAGAAAAGGTGAAATCTGAGTAAACTTATAGGACAATACACTAATTTAGTGATACATTTCTGAACAATGTTGCAATAGAAAGCAGACAAAAAAGGAGGAATATTCAAAATATAATTATTAGTATTTAGTATCTTTCTTAGCTATAGGAAGTGATGTTGAAGGGAAAGGAAATAGAAAGTGAATCCCAAATGTGCAACTGAACTACTGGATGTATCCTACTTCAATGAACTGAGATTAGGAACAAAGAAGAGAATGCACTCAAGGTGGTGGTGATGGGAATGCATACATCTTGGAACACCTGAATGGGTGTCTCCGTGAAAGACTGGGAATACACTCTGCAGCTCCAGAGGGAATTTGGTTGAGATCTGACCGTAATCTATCTGTAAGTGGTTTGTACAGGATGAGATGAATAGTTTCATGTAGGCGTAAGCCTGTGGCCCTAAGAAAATAAGACAAAATCTGAAAATACTGATGTCTAAGTGCTAGGGATTGATAATAAAGCAGTAGTGAACAAACCAAGGATGGAATATTCAGAATGTTAAAAGAAATAATGCCGAATAAGAAACGTGCAAATCACGTGAGGATGTCCCTCATTTAAAATTTGTACTTTGAATATATATATTTTTTGAATTCTCTTTGGGAGAATTGAAATGTACAAAATTGTGACCATGTGAATATACAATTGATGCACAACCCATAATATCTTCTTTATTAAGTAATGCCTTGATATGGTGCCATCATCGTGAAGCATGAGACTAATGAAGATTTTGTTGTATTTACTGTAACTTTGTCATTACTCCACTATCTCTCCTTTCCTCTCACTCTCTCTCCCTACATTCTTCTTCTCTCATTAATCCTTCCTTCCTCTTTCCTTCTTTCTTTCATACTCATTCTTCCTCTCCTTCTTTCCTTCAAATAGAATACAGAGTAAATTAAGGGAACTTTGGTGTAGCCCTTCATGCACTGAGTGCTGGAAATCTTAAATCCATCTCTGAGAACATCGTCTATGTTAAGACCTCATTGTGCTTGTGTGAATTGACTGCATGCCTACTCTTTCCCAACCTGACAGATGCCTGGCTCACTTATTTCAAATTTGACTATTTCTTGTTGAATAATTTCTGTAAAGCGTTAAAATTATTTAGGGAAATGAAAAGGCATACACAAACAAAATATTCATATTGATTTTTAAGATTTTTTTTTCTAGCCACTTGAAAACTTAGTATGTTAGATGCTAATTGAATTGAGTCATTGATGGATTGAGTAAATAGTTTTTTCATAACTCAGCATTTCTCAGCTGCTGCAAAGAAGTTCAGAATTTCTCATGGTGATCGACTTTAATGCAGGTCCCATCTCTGTCTCCTGCAGTGACAAGGACAGTGTGTGCAGAACAATGCGACGGCAGGTGCTATGGACCCTATGTCAGTGACTGCTGCCATCGAGAGTGTGCTGGAGGCTGTTCAGGACCTAAGGACACGGATTGCTTTGTATGTCTCCAACTTCTCCCTTTGACTTCTGGGCTGCTTGTTCCCTCTATCTCAGACACCTTGAATCCTTAACATTTTATTACACCAAGATCAAGTGTACCCATTTTAGGACTAAGAAATGGCACTGTGCCCTGCCAGAAAACATTGCCTTATTGCAATGGCTACTGTTGAACTGCCTTATTTTCTCGTACTAAGTGAACTGTGTCTTTCTATGATAGTTTTTCTCACAGCTGAGATCTATTGGAGAGCATGAAAGAGAACATATTGAAATACCTTTCCCAAAAATGCAGTCACTGCATGTTTGTACTCTTGCATTATTGAGTGCCATGAATGTTTGTCATCACAATTTATTTTGTCAAACCAAATTTAAAGGCTATGACATAAATGTCAGACTTTCTCCAAGGTTATGTTGTTTTCATTGCACATTTAAAGCAATTTCCAATTTCATCTTAAGGAAAGAGGATGCTTTTCTAAAAATGGTCATTTAGAGTTAGGGACACCTTTTAGTTATATTTTGACATCATGTTCTTGATGTGAGACTTTCATTGTTGGGAAGGTATATGAGTGCTTCAGTGAGGTATGTTGATTTAACTCAGTTCCATACTTGCTAAGTTCTTGTTTCATCATTAAAGTAAAAATCATTAAAAAAAATCTTACTGCTAAAACATATATTCTTCAGCTTTTCACAGTAGAATTGAACATTGTTTTTCCAATTGAACATTAATTTCATAACTAGGTGATAAAAATTAAAGTGCTTATGAATTCTAATTTCTGAATTAAAAAAAACTTTACAGGAAACTGTCATTCTCTTCTATAGTGAAATAAAAATATACAGCTGTATAAGAGGAGAAAGAGACAGAGGAAAGTAAGCCAAAATGCTGAAAATTAAAAATAATTCTGAGCAGGTCGTGAACTGAGAACTTTTCTCTAGTCTATTGCCAGGATAGACAGGACATAGGAGAGTTTGATTTTGACAGCAGGGAACACTGCAGGTGTTATATTATTAATTCTAAAAAAAAGCAATAATAAATATCAACAACTCTCAGAAATTTTGCACTGAATTCTTTTCATGGTTCCATTGTCATGACAAGCAGAGTGCCTAGGGAGGGACAGACTTCTTATTTCATTACTTTTATGGAATGGTCCAGTGATTCCACTGTGACGTTCGGTACAGAATATTCAAGAATTCCAGACAGAGGCCTTGATGTAAGTTATGTTTTTTGTTTGCTGTCTTAAAGGCAAAGTGTTTATCCTTCTGGCATATGTTCTTTCAGACCCAATCTGTGTACTGCACTGGGCAAAGTATGTCGGCAAAGCAATTAGAAGGACATAGTGAGTTTTATGTCCATAAATTAAAACTCACTGAGTTTCCCAGATTAGTTTTTAATAGATTATTTCTGGAAACTGTCATCTTAGTGACAAAAACATCATCAGTGAGTCTCATTCTGTTATGTATCGAGTAGACCATCATCGGTGAAATGTCCTGTTTGTGACAAAGTGTTTGCAAAAACAACAATTGATGAAGTAAATGTTATGAGGAAACAGTGAACTAATGCTTATTAATCATGGATATTATGACAATTTATGATGAAATGCAAAGCATAATCTTAGTTCACATTAACTTTCCTTCCTAAATTGTTTTCTATGGAGGCTTAATTTCTTAGTTAAGAGTATTAGCTCATCAGTCCTTTTGTTAATGTTCTAATGTATTAATACGTATTTCCCAATACATATTTCCTGACTCTCCAGTGGTTTTTAGTTCTTCAATTAAATTGATGTATTCTTAATGTACATGTATGTCGGCAGAAATAAAAAATGTCTTCTTTGAATGTGTACTGAGTTTTACAAATGGTATGGCACGTTGAAAGAAGTCAAGCAAGAAATGATGTCACTGCAGCTAACTATAACTGGTTTATCTCGGTACATCTTGGCATTAAGTGCATTGCATTTGTACTCAGTTGGTCACTGGTCAGCGAATTTCTTTAATTTAAATGGCCACCACTTTTCTCACCACTCAATAGTAATCTCTGTGTTTTGTGTATTACCTAACATACTTCAGTCTCCAAATATTAACTCCAAAGAATGTCAAACCTATTGAACTGCAGATTTAGTTGTCAGTGGTAGGCCATAAGAATAGCACAACATCTTCTAATAAATATGAGTTTAAGGCCAGGAAGTATTATGGCCCTAAAACTTTATACATGAAATACATTGAAGTTTTAAAATAATTTTAAAAATAAGTAAAAATGTAAAATATAAAATGTATGGTTACTTGGTACTAAAATATAACACTTAAGGGAATAAAGAGTGTATTAAATCAAAGGTTCATTTATCCCTTTGAGCTAACAAAGAATTTAAACCAATGTTCAATGTCTAAATTAGTGGATGATTTTTAAGTAGTTTAAAAATCAGTAAGTGATATATTTACTGACATTAGACCAAAAATTTTATGAAATTTTTTAAATGCAAAAATGGCCATACAATTATTAAATTTGCCATGTTAACGAAATTTTTCTATGCTAAGAATGCAACATTCTCATAAAACTGTTATAGCAGTACTGTTTAACTACTAAGTGTTAAGAAATTTATTTGGAAATGAAAGCATTTTTTCCTATATTTCAGGCCTGCATGAATTTTAATGACAGTGGAGCATGTGTTACTCAGTGTCCCCAAACCTTTGTCTACAATCCAACCACTTTTCAGTTGGAGCATAACTTCAATGCAAAGTATACCTACGGAGCATTCTGTGTCAAGAAATGCCCACGTAAGTAACACTGCAAAAATAGCCAAATTAAGTAGGTCATCCTTCAAAAACACTGGGATTTTATTCACGTTAGCATAAATTTGAAACATCTAATAACATGTAAACTTCTAATGGTGTGAATTACTTTAGATGTTGTTACTATGATTTTTATTCTAAGATCAGGCTACTTTTGTGTCCATACGAAATAAGCAATCAATATCATAACCCAGAATGCTAACCTGGGATAGGATTTTTTCTTACAGACAGTCCTTCAAGGCCATTCCTAAGTGAGGTCAGAGAAAGTGCCATTTCATTTCAACTTACACCCACATACCAACTTCCATGTTTACTTTCCTCTCTCAGTTTATCAGAAGTGCCCCACCCCAATTTGAATGTAACCATAGGTATGAGCTAAGTGTGAAATCCTATCCTACTGGATGATAACACGAGGTTCATAAACACCTGTTTCTGCAATTTATTTGTGCTATCATTCATACCCAATCCCAAATATGTTACTTCCGCTTTATGAATTTGCTGTTGGATCAGGCCAACAAAATCTATTTCAAATAAATCTTTCTTCATGATGGCCAATGGTGGTCACTAGGTTAATCATGGAACAACTATTAGATATTCCATCCCTACCAGAACCCAGAGTATGGCAGGAGGTTTTTCGTAAATGGTATACAATCCCATACTATTGATAGCCCGACTTTAACTCTAAAAGACTATGGGTCTCTGCTATGATTTTCCAATTACTATAACCCCACATGGTATGTTTGCCCACCATAGGTAATCCCAACCTAGTAAAACAGAATCCCTTGAGTCTTGTTGTCCAAGTAGCACAATTGCTTCTAAGAAAGCCTGGCCCTGTGCCATGTAATTATCCTTGGTGTGAATCCCTTAAGTCTAGAAATCCTCTATACTATTGCATATTGGGCCAAAGCTACATAGTCAGGCATGGAGATTGCTACTGTAAAATATGCAGTGTCCCAGAGAATGCTGCATTTTCCCTTGCTATGGAAGATTATACATGTATGTATATATTTATGAATGTATACACACATGTATATATTAGAGGGGTTGTCTTGGAATACCCTAGATCACTGGAATTCTCAAATTTTCACTTAAGTGTAAGGTAGGATTTTTTTGTGTGTGTGTTTCCATATTTTCCCAAAGTACTATGTTTTCCATATTTTTTTAAATGGAAAAATACAAAACACTTCCATGGCACTCTGAGAATGCATGGTAAGCATTTCTTCCTGCGTATGAACTGCACTCACTCAATTCAAGGCAGTTTGAATTAATCTTCATTTGTGCTACGTAACCTTGAGATATTTTTAGACTTCAAGCTTGCATCATGACATGAAATGGACTGGAACTATTGAAAAATACAAAGTAAATGTCATGTCAGTTCCTAAGAAATCCACTCTATCTTGGGGTTGAATTCAGCATGTAGAATGCAGCTACACAAGTCTAGTCATCCTTTACACGGACTGCCCAGGGATCTGAATACAGAATGCTTCTAAATTGAGTGCATAGAAAGAGTTGTTTGAGGAAGAGACATATATGCTCAAGAATGCTAATCAGTATCAAACCCTAGAACACTTTGTTTTGAACTTTGCGTGCTGAGAACTAACAGCTATTTTACTTTTTCTCTAAAAATTCAGATAATTTTGTCGTAGATTCCAGTTCTTGTGTACGTGCCTGTCCCAGTTCCAAGATGGAAGTAGAAGAAAATGGTATTAAAATGTGCAAACCTTGTACTGACATTTGCCCAAAAGGTGTGTAATATTTGAATTTATTTTGATTAGAACAAGGGACTATACCTAGGTTCTTCATTTAAAAAAATACATGTTTATTTGAAAGACATACAGAGAACAGAAAGAAGGAGCAAGAGTGTGAGAGAGAAATTTCTATGTATTCTTTTTCTATTTTTACTTGTTCACTCCCCAAAGTCTGCAAAGTCAAGAATTGGGCCAGATTGAAACCAGAAACCAGGAGCTTCCACTGGGTCTCTGCAAGGTTACAGCACCCCACGATTTTGTGACATCACCCGTTACTCTCCAAGGAACATTAACAGGGAACTGAGTCAGAAGTGGAACAGCAGGGAAAAGAACTGGTGTTCACATGGATTGCCAGCATATGAGGCAGCAGCTTAACTTGCTGTGCCACAGCATTGGCCCCTCGATCGTGTTGAGTAAGCTAATAAAATGACCTTCTCAGCACATACCCGCTCAGATAACCAAACATGTTCATACACACTTTCTACCACTAGGCAGTCCCTAAAGTCTAACCTATCCTGTTAGTATAATTTACAGGTTTTCAATTGTGTGTATATGTACTAGAATGGTCAGAAGAAAAATTAGGTAGGAATTAGGAATGAGTTACTTAATCTTATCTGTTGCACATATTAAGGTTTTTGCACAAAACAAGAGGCAACATGATTATTTTAGCACCTACTATATATATTTACTTGCTTGTCACGATATACTCAGTGCTCTCTTAAGTTAAAAAAATATCAGGGGGGGTGGGTGGTGTATGTTCAAAAAGAAGATAAGGGATGTAACACGTTTTCCAAAACTGTTAAATAACTGTTGTAGATAACTCTAGAGTTTTAGTGGAGGAAGATCGTGTCCAGGTTCAGGCACACAAATTCCTCACCAGAATGTTAGTTAAATTAAGCAAGACAGAAACAATGTACATGTTTAACAAGCTCCTAAGGGTTTTCTTATTTTGTTTTGTTTTAGATTTTCAAAGTAATATCTTGGAAAAGAGTAACCTTCAGACATACTTTTGAAATGTAGTGTTCTCTCTCCCTTTTCTTAAATAGTCTTTAGAAAGCATAAATAATAATCAATAAGTATAAATATAAAAGTGGCTACTGACTCTGGTTTACAACAGCCTTATGTTGTTCTTTTAAAATGAAAGCACAGTGATTTTTGGCCAGAAGTAAGTTTTCCAGCCCCTGACTGTGGTTCTTGTTTCTGCAGCTTGTGATGGTATTGGCACAGGATCACTGATGTCAGCCCAGACTGTGGATGCCAGCAACATTGACAAATTCATAAACTGCACGAAGATCAATGGGAATTTGATCTTCCTTGTCACTGGTATTCACGGGTCAGTATTAAATTTCTTTACAAGACTTTTTTTTTTTTTAAATATAAACACAGTTGGAGAGATTGTATAGCTTTGTTAATTTGGTGCCTCATGTCCCAGAAGAGTTTTATGTTTCATTAATGTCCTCTGCCTGCAAAAGTAAGGGCAGATCACTGTCACAATGGCAAACTGGAGTTTTCACGTGTCTCTGCTTTGATTTGAAAATATTAATCTGTATTTGTCTAAAGCACGTTTATAAACATTTTCCTCAAAGACACAGCTTTTAGAAGACTTGGCCCCATCGCATCTGTGTTTATTAAGGAGTGTGGATATGTAAGATAGGGAATTTCAGATTCCTAATTTAATAGGTAAAGATACATAAACTAATTCAACATGTTTGCTTTCAAATGACACAAATCAATAAGCTAAAATTTGCATGAATTCTTACAGAAATTCTCAGTCCTGAGACAGTTTCTTTTCTAAGTTGGAATTGACTGCTAAAGTAAAAGAAATTGATTTCATTTTTGTGCTAAAACATGTGACATTGTCAGGATGCCTCCAATACAGAACCACCTGCTGGTTTTAACTGTGTAAAGAAGCAAGTTGGTATTCTTTAAACTGTAATAAAAATGTCAGTATTTTTACTTTATATTTTATCTATTTGTGTATGCTACTACTGAATTCCTAAATGTTAGTGCTACAGGCAAAAATAAAAGAATAGCACTCAGATATTTCAATTCAAAATCTCATTCTGAAAATATATCGTCTCATTTATAGAAGCAAAATAATTTAACACATTATGATTAAATATGTCCACATGGAAATAGCAAAAGCAGTAGAAAAATTTGTTTGCATTCCAGTGATGTAACTCGTGTGTTATTGCATAAAGCTCTCTCCCTATTGTAACAGTTTTCAGTATGGGCCTTTACCTAATACTATATATACACCGTTCAGATTTGAGTCCCAAGAAATATTTTCTAAAATTAGGACTAAACTTTCTGATTTCTCCTTTAAAAAAAAAAAACATTTAGCACTAGTGTTCTTCTGTCTAGAATCCTATTGCTACAGTCAGTTGGAACTGGGTAACACCAACAAGCCATTTTGACATGGGACTCATATCACTAACGTGACCACAGTTCAGCTGAAATTGAATCCATTTACATTATTGCTTTAGCCTCTGACTCATTTGCCATGAGATAATATTTAAGTGTATCTTACTAAATATAGCATTTAGTGAAGGTAATATATCTACATTTTAACTTTTCAAAATCATATAGCGCAGATGAAAGATCATATCCTGATAATAAATGTCTTCTTAGAAACAGAATACAGTCAGTTGACTCATAGTGCCTATATCTATGTGTAAGTAATACATGTATGTCTAATTTGTCAAAACAGATCTAGTCTATCAGTGTGTGGAGTGATTTGAAACCATATGCTCATGAATCACATGAGAAAGGTCGTTATACATATCAGGCTGCACATATCTCTTTCCTATACCAAGATTTTGACATTCTTTATTAATCTGAACAGAAAATGTCTAGATAATATAGCCTAGCTGCATGCATAATTTTTTTTTAAAATCGTAATTCTGTGGATGTATTTTAAAGTAGACATGTGATAAAAAGCATTGGTTGGACAACTCTCAGTTTCAGTTTATAATGAGAGTAAGGCTTGGATAGAAAGGAGTTAAATGATTACTCCATATAATATTACAGAGAAAAAAATGAGCAGCTGAACAGCTGATCAATAGAATAGAAAAGAACTGACTGGACATGTTATCATATGACAAAAGAATGAGGAAAAAGATTTTCCTGGAAATCAGGCCAAAATGACTAGAAACACCTACAAAGTGTGTTCAAGCATAAGGTTTCCATACACAAAATCCTGAATGAGTGATGGGACCATCCTAGGACTGTGTAACACATGCAGCAATCCTTTGCTGTGAAAGACATTGAACAGTCTGCAGCTCAGGTTACCAGGTTATTACTAAAGGCCAAAAAATAGCCTCAAAATTTGGTTATAACTGAAACACCATGGCAGACGTGCCAGTTCCCCTGTAGTGAGATGGTACTGCCTGCATACAGAACTACTGCCACAATTTTGTAATGGTCAAGGGATAGTGAACCAATAAAGGCATCTACTGATTGAATTGCTTATATTCAAATTATAGCTGAAAAAGTTTGAAAAACAATTGATCAGATGATGTCTGGAATAGCTAATTTAGTCTTGGGTCATCATGGAACCTATTCATTAAAATCGTGGATTTATGCTATTTAAAAACTATTGTACGCATTATACATATAATTATCAGTGACCTAGATTCAGGTATATTCACTTAAGTAGATATAATATATGGACATGGGTATCTGTGAGTTAAAAATACACTGTAGAGTAGGGGCTTTGCATTCACAAGCTTACAGAATATTATAAACCTACTAATTCAACTTTCTAAGGAGAACAAATCATCCTGATAAATCCATACGAAAAGTGATTTTCAAAATAATTCTGCTGAGAGGTGTGGGTGTGCCTTTGGCTGGGACAACCCACACCGAGCCAGGCTTCCTGCTGGAATCCTAGCTCCCTGTCCACCACTGCGGAGTGTTAGGCAAATACTGGGTTTGTGGGCTTTGCCCACTGGCTGCCCGGCAGCGAGCTCTAGGATCTGGAGGGTCTGGAATTACTGCCGAGGGACATCCATGGATAAAGCCACAGTACATGTAGCTAAGGAACAAATCCTGAGGGACACTCAATGACAGGGTCACTGTACTTGCAGATAAGCGAGGGGACTGAGACCTGGTGGTTTGTAGGGAAGAGACTGAAGATCTGTGTTGATCTTTATTGGTCAGACTCATGTACCAGCTCACATGGGAGTCTGGAGTTGGGCTTGTTAGCATGGAATATTTCTGACCATCACATGACGGTCCATGTGAAAGCTAGGGTTGGGGGCCTAAGAGGATCGTAACCCATTACCTGACTGAATGTCAGAACAGAGTACTGGTCACATTAGTCAGGGCCATGAAACTAACCAGCACACGAGAGAACCAGGTCCAGTGGTAGATTCTGTGAGGGATATGTGGGCCAAACCTGTGGAAAAACATGTCCCGCTGGTTAGCTAAAAAATTGGGGTGGTGAAGGGCTGAGCTTAGCTATGATCATGGAACCTGCCAATACTCACAGGTACAGGGACCAAGAATAGTCTGGGTGCATCCGGGTCGCAGCACTCATTTGTGCATCCTAAAATAGGGTGTAGAGCGGGCTGGGTCGCAACATTCACCTAGATGAAGGAGCAAGAGCCTAGCACCCACAGGCATGGATGAGATCTGGGTCTGGGAGTGGCCTAAGTGGGGGGACTTGGGAAAATCCCAAGTGGGTCATAGTTCCTGTTGGTGAGCCCATTATCCAGCCCTTGGAATCATGCAGGCTGGGCAAGGTAGTTCCAACTGTTGGCTAATCTGTTGGTTGGTTTTGGAAGGGGTTAAACTGGGCATTGCCGAGCAAACCCTAGCTCATCAGCAAGTGCAGAAACCAGTGCAGGTCATGCTGGACTAGGCTGTCACACCTTCCAATCTGCATGAGCCAGGGATGGGAGTAGACTGAACAGGGCCAGGTTGCAGCACCCACCAGTGAGAGTTGGGATTGTGTACAGGCTGGATCAGGCAAGGCTACAGCATCCAAAGGCAAAATCCAATATAGGTGAGGGGCTATGCTAAGCTGGGTCAGAGCAACCACTGGCATGAACAATATGTGACTGGGTGAAAGCCTGGTTTGGGAGATAAGGGAATGCCCTGGCTGGACTGTGGTTCCCACTGGTGAGTGTGAAGGCCAGAGTTGGGGCTGCTGTCTAGTGTGGGCAGGGTTGCAATGTTACTCAGCACAAATGTGAGCTGGGCATGGGGTATACCAGACTGGGCTCAACTCCAACACCCACTGGTGTTTGTGAGAACGAGGTTAGGTATAGGACAGGCCAGGCTAGATCTCAGCCCACGCTGAGCCACGTGTGAGCTGTGTCTGCGTGTGGACCAGGATTGGCTGGTCTGTAGCACCCAACAGTAAAAACCAGAATGGGTAAAGGCTAGTCAGGAAGGGCCATTGTTCCTGCTAGGACAGGAAGTAGACTAAGTGGGGCTGGCCCATGGACCCACTGGTGTGCAAGATATTTGGCACTGAGAGAGGTTCTGATGGAGGAGCTTAGGGAACTCCTCTGTTGGGACACAATCACTGCAGGTGAGTACAAGAACCATGATAGGGAGCAGCCTGTATGAGGCTAAGGAACAATAACCACTGGCGTATATTTGGTGCAGGTTGGGGGCAAACCAAGCTGGGCCAGTTCATACCACCTGCTTTGAATCTGAGCACAAGAATGGAGTATGGGTTGGGCCAGGTTAGGTCACAACACTAGACAGTTCCCCTGAGGGCCAGGACTGGAAGCCTGTTTGGCTGTGCTAGGTTGTAGCCACCACCAGCGTGAGTTTGAATTGGGGGTTGGCTGAGCCCTGCTAGGCCACAGCACCCACTGGCAAATGTGGAGGAGAGGCAGACTAGGCTAAACTGGGCCACAGCACCAAACTAGCACATGTGAGACCCGGTAGGGAGTGGGGGTGTGGATGATGGTAGGGGATGCTTCATGGGGCTCTCCTGCTGGACCACCACTCCCACTGGAGAGTGTGAGTTGGGATGGGGGCAGACAAAACTGGGCAGGTTACAACACCTGTTGGCCTCATGTAGGCTGGATAAGGGGAAAGTCAGGCTGAGTTGACTGCTCTACTGGCACATGAATAAGCAGGGTGAGTGTGGGTTGGTTGGGCTTGGCCGTAGCATCAGCTGACAGATGCTGCCATGGCTATAAATTCTGTCAAGTTCAACTGCAAGGTTCAGGAGTGGTAGTGGGCACAGTAGGGAAATAGTGGGCACCTTGCTCTTGGGTTGTCCCTCCAACTGGTTAGCATGAGAACCATGACTGGGACAGGCATGGCTACACAGAGTGGCACCTGCTGGCAGTTGTGAGGGCTGGATAGTGG